TCGGACGGATATCTATGTTGTATTGGCTGAGGAAGATGGCCCATTTCACCATCCGAGAGGAGCTAGTGGGACTCCTCATGAGGGCGCCGAGGGGTTGATGAGTGAGCACTTGGACCGGATGAGCTTGAAAGTAGTGGCCAAGCTTCTTGACGGTCCAAACGATGGCTAGCACCGTCTTCTCGACGGGAGAATACCTGAGTTCGGCCTCCCGGAGGGTTTTGCTGACGTAGAAGATGGCGTGTTGGATGTCGTCTTCCTCTCGGATTAGTACTGAGCTGATTGCCGCAGGGCTAACACCGAGATACAAGTATAAGGTCTCCCCCACCTTCGGTTTGGAGAGCACCGGGGGAGAAGAGAGGTACTTCTTAAGTTCATCGAAGGCCTCCTGACACTCAGATGTCCATTGGAAGCCAGCTGTCTTCCTCATGATTTGGAAGAATGGGAGGGCCCTCTCGGCTGACTTAGAGAGGAATCGGTTGAGGGCCGCCAGGCGACCCGTCAACCGTTGAACTTCTTTGACGTTGCGCGGAGGCTCCATATTGATGATGGCCTGAATTTTCTCGGGGTTGGCCTCGATACCCCTTCGGCTTACCATATAGCCCAAGAATTTTCCACCTTGTACGCCGAAGGTGCATTTCTTTGGATTCAATCGGAGGTTGAATTTTTGCATGATGGCGAAGATTTCCTGGAGGTCCTCGGCGTGAGTGCCGGCCTTCTTGCTCTTGACAATCATATCGTCAACATAGGCCTCCATAGTGCGCCCCAAGACAGCTTGAAAGACCCTGGCCACCATTCGGGTGTAGGTGGCGCCTGAATTCTTGAGGCCGAAGGCCATCACGAGGTAGCAGAAGATGCCTTCGGGTGTCATGAAGGCAGTTTTTTCAGCGTCTTCTTCATGCATATAGATTTGATGATACCCGCGGAATGCGTCGAGGAAGGACATGATTTCGCATCCCGCGGTCTCATCCACCAGTTGATCAATGTTTGGCAGAGGGAAGGGGTCCATAGGGCACGCCTTATTCAGATCAGTGTAGTCCACGCACATGCGGAAGGTAGGAGGCTTCTGTGCAAGGACTACATTGGCTAACCAAGAGGGGTATTTTACCTCCTTGATATGTTTGATGGAGAGGAGCATGGCTACCTCCTTCTTCACGAACTCCCTTCTCTCGGCCGAGAGGGGTCTTCTCCGCTGTTGTACTGGTTTGGCCGAAGGGTCCACCGCTAGGCGGTGGGTGATGACCCTTCGGTCAATTCCCGGCATATCCTCCGGCCCCCATGCAAAAACAATGGAGTAGGCGCGGAGGGCTTTGGTGATGCCAGCCTTCAAGTCTTCGGGGAGCTTGGCTCCAATCTTCAGGACTCTCTCCGGCTTGGCCGGATCGAGTATCAAGTCTTCGGTCTCCTCGGCAGGCTCAGCTCTCGGCCTGCCTTCTTCTTCCTCCAAGGCCCTGGTGGTGATGGTGTCCACACGTAGTTCTGTTTTACTAACCTTCTTGGTAAGTTGAAGGTAGCAGGCCCTGGAGAGTTTTTGATTCCCCCTCGAGTAGCCGATGCCGGTGGGTGTGGGGAACTTGAGGCAGAGATGCCTCATAGAGATGACGGCTTCCAAATCCTCGAGGGCGGGCCGGCCGAGGATGATGTTGTGTGCGCAGTCGAGGTTGACGACGACGAACTCCACTTCGAGCTTGGCTCTATGGGATCCGTCGCCGAATTCGATCATGAGTGTGATGACGCCCTCGGCGTCTATGCTGTCCCCCGTAAATCCGGAGAGGGGGGTGTTGATGTGCCGAAGGGACCCCCTGTCGAGTCCCAATTCTTGAAAAGTGCTGAGATACATGACGTTGACCGAACTCCCCGTGTCGACGTAAGTCCGGTGGATGATGGCGTCGCTGATCTCAGTGCGGATGACGAGGGCATCCCTATGCGGCAGAGAACCCGAGGGGAGGTCCGCATCCGTGAAGAAGATGGGATCCGCCCTCGGCCTCTTAGTCGGGGGCATGTGATTAACTTCCCCAATGTAAAGGGACTGCGCCCATTTCTTCCTTTGGCTTGTTGAATCGCCCCCGGTGTTCCCGCCGTTGATCATGTGAATGTGGCGCTTGTATTGTTGATGGGAGCCTTCCCCCTCATCTTCGAGGCCCCCAATTTCTCGCTTCTTCCCCTGTGGGTTCCCCAAGGGGATGGTGTTGGGGTTTACCCACTTGTTTGCCTTCGGCGGAGGCCCTTGATGATGAAGGGGGCCCTGGGGAGGAGGGCCCCTGATAAACTGAGATAAGTGGCCCGCCTGTATCAGCCTCTCAATTGCGTTTTTCAGTTGGTGGCAGTCGTCGGTTTTGTGCCCATGGTGGCGGTGGAAGCGGCAATATGGCTCATCAGGGCCGATGGCATAGATCTCGAGGGGTGTACGGGAGTCTCGCTCAACGAGCCCCCGCTCTTCCGCATGATCAAGGATGACGCTGACGGGATGCGTCAAGGGAGTGCGTGGGTGCTCAAGGAGGACGGGTTGCGCCCATGCCTTCGGATTATTCTTATAACCGCCCCCGGTTCTGGCTTGGCCACCTCGGGGGCGATCGTTGTTTTGCGCTTCTCGGTTGACCGGGGGGGGGAGGTCCTCCGGGCCGATTCCTGCCTTCATTCTTCTGGGAAGGATCCGTGTTGCGGCGGTCCTTCTCGATTTCCTCCGCTTCAGCGTATCGGTCCCCCCGCTGAAGGGCCTTTGTATAATCGCGGGGGGGATCAGTGATAAGGCTTCGAGAGAAGTTACCGTTGCGGAGGACGGTGTGGAAGAGGGCCATCAGCGTCCTGTCATCGGCGCCTTCGACCTCGAGGGAGGCCTGCCTCCAGCGTTCCAGGAAACTCCGAAGGGTTTCCTCCTTCTGTTGTCTCACGTTTAGGAGGTGGGAGAAGTGTTTCTTTGAGCGATGCCTCCCAGCAAATTGCGTAAGGAAGCGGTGGGCAAGTTCTTGCCAAGAATCAATGCTGCCTTCGGGCAACCGGTTGAACCACTCATACGCTGGTCCCTCCAAGGTGGAAAGGAACCAACGGCATAAGTATTCATCCGAGGCCCCCATCATCATCATGCTATTTTGATAGCGGCTATAATGCTCTTGGGGATCAGTCTTCCCCTCATACGGCTTGATGGGTTGCCCGCGATATTTGTGGGGGATTTTGGCTGCCAACACCCTTGGGGTGAAGGGCGTCCTAGTGCGGAGCTGAATGAGGGGCTCGCCTGAGCCTTCGGCAAGTTTACGTTTCATTTCCTCCACCTGTGCCCGGAGGTCAGCGTACTCCGGATCTGGCCTCGCTGTGGAAGCCGTCGGGGGTGCCTGGCGATTCTCCTCGAGTTGACGGAGGAGGGCTTCAATGATTTCGTCCTTGGGATCCTTCGGGGCAACCCCTTGGGAGTTGGCCCGGAAGGATTGCGCCTGATTGATCTGGTGCCTGGCGTCATCGGCATGGAGGAGGGCTTTGCCTTTGCTCCGTGGGGGAGGCACGCCCTCGGCGCCCGAAGCAGAGGCTCCACTCTCCTGGGGCCTGCTGAATGACTGTTTCCCGAGGCGGTCTTGGACCCCTCGGTGCCCGGGAGCTCCCCCAAGCCTCTCAAGTACAGAGGTTCGGGGTTTCTCTTTCATCATGGGGCGCTTGTCCCTGGATTGGGCCTCTTGGGAGGCGGTATCCTGTGCCATGACCCCCTCGGCATTGCCAATCCCCGGGGGAGGACTGTTGAACAAAGGAGGGAGTGGTGGTAGTTGGATAACATTCCCTCCAGCGTGGGGCTGAAGGGGCGCCTGGGAGGCGAGGGCTCCGGAATTGAGAGCCATGTTTTGAACAAAGGCCGCAAAGGCAGCCTGAAGATCGATGGCCGGGGCCGGAGGGGGAACTTGGTTCTCACTCCGATCCCTCCTTCGATTATCAAGGCCAATGCGGGCATCAGGGGCGTTCTTCTGTAGTTGCTGACGGAGGTCAGCAGTAGCCTGCTCCAACTCAAGGATGATACCACCCTCGGGTACTAAGAGCCTGTTGGAGGCCTCAGCCCCGTTGGTTTCGCCGGGGGCTATGTGGTTCTCCTCAAGGGTTTTGGACTGGGCACGGGTGGTTCTTCCCATTTTTGGTAAGTATTTCGTGTTTGGTAGAGGGGGAGGGTTTCTTACTTGATAGTTCAGACCTCTCAACGAGAGCACCAAATGATGGATAGTCTACCCGGGGGGGTATCTTATCCGAGGGGTTATTGCGGGAATAACTTAGAGAGAAGTCAGAGCAAAATAGGAGGAGAGAGAGTCGATTTTATTAAATGAACTCGAGATGTGGAGTTGAGATGTAGATTGTGTCGATTACAAGGAGGAATGGGCTGCTATTTATAGCAGCAATAAATGCGATGAGAGGACACGTGTCAGTAATCCAACGGCCGAAGGGTCACATCAGCCTAGTGGCACCGGCAGTGGTACGTCAACCGCATTGAATGCGGTTGGCGGATGCGACGTGGCATTAAATGCGGTGGTTGGCTGTCTCTAAAAGGAATCTTCGATGATTGAGCTAGTTCAGCCGTAGGCTTCTTGCGTAGCCGAGGGCTCCTTGTGTAGCCGAAGGCTTGGCTGAGCCGAGGGATTCCCCTGGTGCCGAGGGCTCCATAGTGCCGAGGGCTCCCGTTTTCTGTCAATTTCTCCCAGTAGCTTCGCATGGTCGAATATGGCGGTTCTGTGAGTTCTGGAGCCTTCGGCCAAGGTGGCCGAAGGCATCCCTGTGTGTACCGTGGCCTTCTTGACGCTTGGGCCGCCGAATCTTGGGCCTCCTGAGCTCCTTGAGCTTGTTGGGCTTGTGATAGATTAGTAGGAGTCTTTGGGCCGGGGGTTCCTGGGCCATATACTCCATCACAGCTCATTGTGGAGATATTGGCGAAACTACAACCTCGTAAGTTCCTCTGCTTCCTAGTAAAATTGTTCTTTAGGTTAAGGTTTTGCATCTATAAATGATGAACTTATTGTTTTTTATTAATAAAATAGCAAACTGTAAATACTCCCAACCCCACCAAGGCTCAACTGGTCAGCGCGGTCCAGCGACATTTTGCTTCACAGGTTTACCGTCTCCCCCTTTCTCGTAATACAAACTTCCTTGGTATATATCTAATCTGTCATTCCACTATTATGTATTTTTATTATTGTTTTAATTTCAGCGAGTTGACGAGGTGCAAGTGGTGGTGGAGTTCATCCGCGCCGCAAAAAGACTGAGATCAGCTCACCTGCGCTGAGATTGATTGATTGGTTTAAGACTCGTGTGATTGGATTCTATAACAAATTTATGTAAGCATGTATATATACTGTAAATACGTCTAAACACTAACTTAGTTTTCTGTTGCTAATCTTAAACCTGGTAAGCACTAATTGAGATGGAGTGGCTGTGCAGTGGGAGCTTCTTTACCACCTCACTCCCATAGTCCCATCTCCTCTCTTGGACACTAACCTTGTATTAATATCTTCTGCATTTGACTCGGCTTGTCTTATGTAGTATATATAACCCTTCTATGTCTTCTAATCTTTAATATATATCCCTTATTCCCTTTGCAATAGATATGGATGGACCCGGGTCAGTCGCGATTCCGGGCCAAGACTGCCCGGTAAAAAAAAATCGGTTTGGCTCAGGTCGGAACCACTTTTCTCCGGGTTTGGGCCGGTTCCGGGTATCCGACTGTTAACTTTCTTTTTCTTTTTTTGGCAAGAATAAGACCATTTGTAGTGGTAAGGTTTTAGGAGTTCAAAATATTAAATTTGGAAATTTTGGACTCCTAATGGTGGTCAAATTATATCGTACAACTGGCTGTACGGTGAGCACCGTACCGTTGGGTATTTTTGAAATTAAATTGAACTTCATAGCTTATAGCTATGGTGCTCTGCTTTCTCCTATTCTTCTTCAGTCACAGTCCCTGCTTTCTCTTAGCCGCAGTCTGCACGTTTGTTTTTTCATTCGTACGTTTCTAGGTTAAACTTTTACTTGTTGTTTTCTTTTTTCTTTTTTCTTTTTCTTTACTTTTTAATTCAAGAGCCTTTTGCTTTAATTTTATTCAATCATAATTAAAATTTATAATATAAAATATTAATACGGTGTCGAGTTTTTTTTCCTCCATTTTTTCAATCATCTTTCTAACATCATTTTTTTAATTTGTCCATTATAAAATATTTTAGGTATAAATGTTTTATTTTTCTATTTTTACTTTTAAGATAAGTATTTATTAGTTATTAAATATTGTGTGTCAATTACTAGCATGAGTTTTGTGTTATATTAAAATGAGTATAGTGTAAACTAAATATGCATAAAAAAAACATTTGAACAATTAGAGAATTCAAACTAGCTTTTAAATTTTTCGATGATCATTTGGTAAATCATGTATGTTCATCTGATACTGGTTTTGTGCTCATTTTAAAATGTCATATTAATGCATGTTTTAAAAATATCATATTAGATCCGCATAAGAGTTAGATTATATAATGGGAACAGAGGTCATGATATTCTTCAATTGCATGCTTTTGGTACTCAATAGAGCAAGTTTGATGTTCAATGACAATCTCTTGATGTTCAACTAACAAAGCTTACAATTTTGATATCATTGCTCATTTGGTAAGTTGTGTATGTTCATTTATTACTGATGTTATTTTCATATTAAAATGTTATATTAATGTATATTTCAAAAGTAGCATATTACATTGGATTCACATATTGAACTTCATAGAGATTGATTGTAGATATAATTTAATAAATTTCTATAAAAGAAAAAATTGAAAAGAAAGTGAACTAGTAGATATGAAGCATAGATTACGATGCTCAATATTAGATGCCTGATACTCAATATAATAGGTCTAATGCTAATTTAAAGTTCATTGATGCTCATTTAACATAAAGCGATACTTTCATATCAATATAGGAGACTTGATCCTTAATGAAAATGTCGTGATGTCCAACTAACAAACCTTATGATTTTCATATTTATACTCATTTTGTAAGTTATAACAATGCATATTTAAAATGTCATAACAATGCATATTTCAAAAGTATCATATTATATTAGATTCACATATTGAAATTAATGAGTTTTTATAAAAGAAAGTGAATTATAATATACGGAGTTTGAAGTTGATATCACAATACTCATTATTCGACTCTTAATGTTAAGTAGAATACGTCTGATACTCATTGAAAGTGTATTGTTTGCTCATCTAACGAAAACTGCGACTTTCACCAAAATTACGAAAATGCCACCTTTTTTTAGTTGTGATATCAGCTATCTTGTAATAACACGGTGCTCATTATTAGACATTTAATATTCATTAACATTGGACTATTGCTCATTAACAGTATATTACAGTATATTACAGTATATTAATGTTCATTTAGGAGAAACCGCAACCAAAAAATGGGTTAAGAGTGGGTGAGTGGAAAGTGTTTAGAATGGAAGGTCTATCGACAGAGTGCAAAGAAAACGACAGGTGTTGAAACCAAGCGTTTGTCTGCCGTGATGCGGAGGGAGAGGTGCAATTGGATGACGTCATGGTGGTGATGTCATTAAATCTTAGATTTTTAAAAACCTTTATAACTTTATTACAGAGTATTTTTTATCCGATTTTTTCAAAAAATATATCAAAATTATGAATTTTAATGATCTTTCATATGACATCAATATGTAATATATAAAATGTAAAAAAATCTAAAGTTATAATCGTAGAAGGTTTCTTGAACCTAAATTAACAAGAAAGACAAAATTTTAATTCATGAATCCTGCAAAAATAACTTAATATTCCACAATTGAACTTTACTTAGGATGTTTTCTTTTGGACTGAAATTTGCTGGTCTGGTCTGGTCTGAACTGGTCTGATCTGGTAAACGTCCGGGCTCTGTGTATTTTATAACTACGAAAGTCTGGTCTGGTCTGGTCTGGTCTGTTTAAGTCTGGTCTGATCTGGTCTGGGACTGAAAACAGTCCAAAAGAAAACATCCTTAAACTAAGTTCATTTTTCGTTAACCAAAAAATGTTTAAAAAATTAATCAAATTTATTTATTTTTACACCGAAATGTGTACTTTTTTATTTCATAATTATTCAGAGAAAATAAAATAAAATGAAAACATTAATTATAATAATTTAACTAATGTTTTACTAAATCGATTTGTAAAAAATATGCATAGTGTATTTTATTGATAATGCTGGAATGCAGAGAAATAGGAGTCAAAACACTGTCTTCATATGGAACGAGTCCATTTTTAACATTTGGACTCTCACGCAACTGGTCTAAAGCCTAAAAAAAGGAATCCAGACCGAGACCGAAACTGGATCCGCAGGTCCGCACGGTTTGGTCCCCAAAACTGTCAAAATAAATGTCATCTAGTGTTTAGGTAGTCGAGATGAAATCGGGCAAGAAAGTTGGATGGTTGGACATTGATCGCTTGTTTATACTTTACTAGTATGTGTACCCGTGCGTCGCACGGTAATAGAAGACCATGGTTATTTTTTTTTCAAGAAATGAAAAGTATATTTTGAAGAAAAAGAAAGGGAAAATATCGACTCAATCCCATATCCGGATCCAATATTTTAGTTTGTGTTATCATGATATACGTTATAGATTGTAAGTTTATAGAATTTTAGTTTTTGAGAAACAATAAGTTTATAGAATTGAAAATACAAATATGAAAATACTTAAAATAATTGTTTAAAAGAATATGGATGCGTGTTAGTTGACTGTTGTACGGTAAGTGGGTAATACTACATAATAATCATAATTTGAAAAGGAACATAAATAACTTATAAAAGAGTGAGGAAGAAACGACCGATGTAAAACTTTGTTCTAAAAGGTTATAAAAAAAATAGTGTTTTTATCATTATTTATTAGGAAAATTTAGGAGCATTTTCTTCTATTACTTTTGAATTATCACTTAAGATTAAATACTAAAAAATACCACCTCCGCCCCCCTAATATTGAGACGGAAAGAAGTGGTGTGATGTTTAAGAAAAGTAGAAATATGTGATTGATAACGAGTTGGTAAAGCGAGAACGAATTAGAGTCACACAAATGTTACCAAAAATGGTATGAGACAATAATAGGGGAACATCCAAAAATGAAAAAATGAGAGAATTATAATGAGACGGAGGGAGTATATCATATGAGTACACATACTTTGACCTGTTATGTAGGTTTTTTGTTGAAAAACTAACGAATTGTTGTTACAATTTCAACAACAATAGCTAGAAATGAATAAAAAAGTTAGTAAGGTTGTCAAAAACTATATTTGTGTGTTTTGGAACTGTGTATGTTCTACATCTTTTAAAACGATTAAGATGTTTTCATTTAAAGTTTCTTTAGTCTCGTCTCGATCAAAATTAAAAAGACCTCATCGAACATAAATATACCTGATTAGATCAGAATTAAACAAACCAAACCCGACTTACAATTATTTGATCAATTTGTAAATTTTCATTTCCAATTGGAAAAATTCTTAGCAAGTTTGTTAGCATGTCTTCCTTCTTTCTTTAATAATTGCAACACTTTGAATTTTACACTATTCACACACTTTACTTTGATCATGATCGATTTTCTAGAAATATATAATCAAATTATTATATGTCAAATATTATTAAATTTCTTTTAATATGAACTTCCACAATATTAAATTTTTATAAAATCTATTCATATACACTTAAATATAATCACAGTCAAAGTTATGTGCTGATAACATGAAACTCAAACTATTGCAATTGAAAAAGAACGGATGTAGTATTATTTAAATCGCAAACATAAAAGTGTGTGCGATGTAAAAGTAATGAAATGGTAGTGACTATACATTATAAACCGTTATAAGTTGAAGTTGAATAGGTTTCCTTTATATATGTGCATGTAAAGTTGGGAAGTTAAATAAGTTTTCATTTACCCTTTTAAATGCTAGTTATGAATATTGTTGATAATGTTAAATGATACTCCCTTCGAGGTAAAGAATTTTCCCACCAAATGTTACCCTTTTAAAGTTTTCCCTTAAAACTTGGTCAACCTTTCTTTTCTGGTTGTCCCACTAATATTGTCACTCCTCTTTTTAAGTAAAGAATTCGTGATTCTAGTTAATTCCCTCTCATCGGTATAAATAACAATACACAATTTTTATTTTTTAAATTCTCGTGCTAGTCAAACTTGGTCAAATTTTAAGGGACGAAGAGAGTAATTTAAAAGCAATCCCTACGTGTATTTTACCCTTCTATTTAAATTGTGTTCTACATAGATTGCGTGTCATGTACACATGTGTTTAGAGACTTGGGAATAAGAAAAAAAAGAGACTTGGGAATAAGGTATTTATTGTAATGTTGACACATGTCACAATTTCCAATAGAGTATGTCCACATGTCAAAAATTCCTTCAATGATTCTCTAAGGGATTGCTTTTATTATATTATATAGATATAGATTTGTTTTTACAATTTCATTTTCATCAAGTTAAATATATATTTGCATATTGCAAGGTTAATGATTTTTGCGGTTCATTATCATGTGTGTCTAAATCTACGGAGCTTTTGTCGAAGGTTAGTCC